ATGTGCAATATTTTATAGAATTGGAAACGGCGGCGAAATAGGTCGGTCTAGTCATTAACGAAGACAAAACCAAGTACATGTTGGTTGACAGCTTCACATACCTTGGCTCGCTAGTGACTACTACCCATAAAACAAGCGAAGAAATTAAAAGACGAATAAACCTTACAAATAGGGCATACTATGGACTCAAAAAACAATTCCACTCAAGAAATATCCAAAGAAAAACTAAAATTATTATATACAAAACACTGCTGAGGCCGGTCCTTACATACGGGGTGGAAACAGGAACTCTAACGCAGAAGGATGAAAGACTTCTGGGAATATTCGAGCGTAAGTGAGCGCTCATAACGAGGCGCCGACAATAGGATCGTACTATATTATCGATTTTAGGTAAAGTAAATGCATTATTTTAAATGCAAACGTTCCCTGTCAGTGCTATGCTCTAGGCGAGGATACGATGCGACGGTCTTCGTTATGAACGTACTCTAAGATACTCCGCAAAATATTTGGACCTATAAACGATCAAGGACAGTGGCGCAAAAGATTTAATTTCAAATTATACCAACTCTTTAATGAACCAGATGTCGTTATATTCATTAACACACAGCAACTTAGATGAACACAACCGCGGATTTGGTCAACATTGTGAAGAGCCGTAAGCTGGATTACTTGGGCCATATAATGAGAAATCAAGGCAGATACGAGCTACTCCAATGCATTTTGCAGGGTAAAATTGAAGGAAAAAGAGCCCCAGGACGAAGAAGAATATCCTGGCTTGCTAACCTGAGAGCATGGTATAGAAAGACCTCAACACAGCTATTTCGTATGGCAACCAACAAAATCATCATAGCCAGAATGATCGCCAACGTTCGGAAAGAACAGGCACCCTAAGAAGAAGAACTTAGATGGACCGGGCACATAATACGAATGCCTAATAACATGATTGCTAAAAAGCTAGCGACAGGAACAACTATAGGATGAAGAAGCAGAGGCCGACCGCGAATTATGTGGTTAGTCGGCGTTACCACATTTAGTAGATTTCTACTTTTTTGGTAGATTTTTGATATTTTTAAAGAAAATCTAGTAGGCAATATTTTTTAGTAGTTTTTTGGTAGATTTCAACATTTTGTTATGACTAAAATGAAATTTGCTTTTTAATAGTATTTACTACATTATTAAATTAATTTTGAAGCTTTCTTGTTAAAAGAAATGTCAACGTCGCGTTTGGTTCATCGTCATGAGCACGTGTGAAACAGGAAATGGCAACAGCATTTAGGTTAGTTGGAGTTGACATCGATTTAGGGATACTATAGTTTATTTTTATGAACGAGAGAGTAATTAGCATAATTTTAACTGGTACCTTCGACCACTCCATGGGCGTGCTCAAGATTAATTGAAAAATTACTTTGAATAATTGTAAAAAATAAATGTATTATTTCAGTGTTATAAAGTGTTATGTGTATGTAAACAAAAGTGACCTCTTTTATCACACACTATATTAGAACTGACTTGCCTACATTAAAAAGGGGTTTTAAAAAATTCACATTTTTTTTTAATTTTTAAAAATTACAAAAGAGAAAAAGAGTTTTTAAAACCGTCTAAGGTATGTTAAATAGATGAATAAAAATATTAATATAAAACTTACAGCTACTTGTTACAAATCCAAATCAGATTCAGAAGATGAACTTTCAGAACCAAGATTTATAATAACTGGCTCGATAATTTTATCAGTAATATTGTCCAGCTTCCACATTTTTTCCTCTTCTTTAATAGTGTGATTTACTGCCTTTTCCCAGTTTTCAGGTTTTACATTATTTACGGCCTCCAAAAACAACTGTATAACATCATGAATTTTAAAAGTGGTATTTTTTCTTGAAACTTCACTCTTTATCTGTGCCCATAACAGTTCAATCGGGTTTAATTCACAATGATATGGTGAGGATCTAAGTACTGTCATTCCACGATTTTTTGCAATTTCATCAATTTCGTATTTTTAAAATTTTTCTTTATGAAGGGCACACAACGAATAAAGTTCCTTTCTTATAGATCCGGGATGGTACGTAATATTTTTTGAACTCAGCCAATTCTGCAAGTCTTTTTTTAACCACTTGGTTGTGGGCAGTCCTTCTATAAGTCTGGAGTGATAACTTGCATTATCCATTACTATTACACAGTTCTTAGGAAGAAGATCTATCATTTGTTCGAACCATTCTTGAAAGACATCAGCGTTCATATCTTCATGGTAGTCACCGGTACGAGTTGATTCAAAAGTTAATAAACCACCTTCAACAAAACCGTCTGAACTGCCAATGTGTACTATTATCAGCCTGCGTCCCTTTGCTGATGGTGGGTTTAAACCAGTAGAAAAGTTATTTACAAAAGCGTGCCTTTGACTTGTAACAGTTTCATCCTGCCAAAATTTATTTGGTGTATGACCCTCGTTGATCCATGTTTCATCAAGATAAAATATTTTTCTTTTTTGGTTTCTCATTTCCTTTATGGTTCTTAGAAAATGTCTTCTCCATATGACAATATCGCTTCTTTCTAATAAAATAGACTTTTTGGGATTCTTTGTCCAGCGGAAGCCTATTTCTTTTAAAACTTTCCATAACGTACTTCGACTCATTTCTGGGTAATCCTTATCATCTCGAACTAAGACAAGAACTTTATCCAATGTTGGAAATTCTTGTCTAAAGAAGAATTCATGCACTTTCCGTCGAAGTCCTTCTTTAAAATGATATTCTATTTGAAATTTTGGTTTCCCTGGAGCATTACGTGGCATTTGAAAACTACCACATTTCTCTTCTTTAATAACTCTGTAAATCGTAGATTTCCCAACACTAAGTGTACTGCTAACTAACTCAACGGTCTCATCAAAACTTTCACATAAACGTTTGTCTGTAAATGATTTAAAACAATTAAATATTAATGTTTTTTCATTAACTGTTAAAGGACCAATTTTTCGGCGTTTACACGGCACTTCCAAATTTTCCATAACACTAGTATACACAATAAACTGCACCTTGCAACTGAAGTACCTACTTTCAGTGAACTGTTAAGAATTTTGAATACGCCACTTGGACCTTCCTACAAAATGGAAAAACCCACTATCACATTTTCTGTCGAATAAGTTTAGAAGGTAATTATCTAGTCAATTACTGTCGTAGATTCCTGGAATTAAGGAATTAAATGTTTGATTGTTGAAACCCTTACTTCGTGGAATGCACTCATTGCAGATAAAATAAAACGTTTTATTTTATCTAAAGAATTAAACTTTATTTTGCAAATAGGTAGGTACTTATTAAACTTTTATTGGTTATATATAAACAAAAAAAAAACATCTTACATTTCTTGCAAATTCATTAGTACCTGTTAACCTCCGTCACTCCGACACTGGCAACCTTATTTAGGGATTAGTAACCCTCACATTATATTCTATTCTGCTCCAACCTTTATACCTGGTGGTCATACTCAATTTAAAATTGTTTTCCTATATACTTCTGTAAACTTGTTGACAAATATCTGTTTTTCATTGAGTCACCCGTATCAACAGTTTAGGGATTTGCATACATAATTTATTGTTTTATTACTCTCTCATACATAAAAATACACTATAGAGATCAGAAGCCCAGGATCCACAGAGGAGTGTCGCGACAAATGATGATGATTGTTACTTCTATTGATTGCCACTTTGACAAATAAGAAAAATCACGCTAAGTTTTGTGTACGTTTGTGCTTATTCGCTGTGAGTTTCGCCGGTAGCGCTCTCTCGCGGTTTGAAACTTGTACTTTTCTGGTAAAATCAGTGTAAATGAAATATGACAAAACGAGAAAAATAGATATTTATTTAAAAATACAAAATAATGAACTGAAATATTATGGTAAACTGATTAATGAACGAATACACAGAATTAATAGTAAAAGTAATTACGCCTTGTTATTTTATTCATTATAATTATAATATTTAAGATATAAGTTCTTGCGACTGGATGACTACTTACGCAAGAGGTCATTGAGAAAAAGAAGAAGTTTATATGAAAATATTTAATGGTTAAAGCAAATATTTAAGGTTATAGACGCTTAAAACGTCTATATTCTGGTTACCTTTACCTCTGTAACGTTGTAATTCTTGTTTTTATTTTACATTTTTATTCTATTTTTGCTCAGTTATTTTTTGTGTGCGTAGGCCTTAGTGCTTAGATATCAATTTGTTTTAATTCTTCTTCTTCTTCTTTCGTTTTATGGCCTCCACCTCTTAAATTTGTTTTAATTTTATCAAAATGGATATTAAACATTATACTGGTTTTAAGTCTATATCACATGATATCCCATTTCAACCAGCTACACCAAAAAAAGGAAAAGGTTTAGTTGATGCAGGGCATGTACGCAATGTTTCGGAATATAATAGATTTTTAATTTTACACCATACAAATATCATGTTTGCATTATAGGTTATTTACTTATTTTTCTCGTTGATAGCAATAATCCATTTTTCTCTTTGAACTATTTTATGCTTGGCAACAGTAAATGAATAAAATTTACAATGACTGTTGTACCCAATATTTTTACATGTATCATTTATTTTTCTTTTTGAAAAATCCATATATTCGCCATTATTTGAATGTTTACAAGTTAAATGCACAAAACTGCCACTAACAGCGTTCGTGAAAACTGTCAAATCCCCTCTACTCATCGGCTCACAGCGAATAGTACAAGATCTCACGGCAGGATCACTACGTTTATAACGTAGTTCATCAGACTCACATTTTTACATACATTTAAAATTATTATAATACATTGATAATAGGTTGCTAGTCAAAAAGTGCAAATATTTGACTTTTACACTTTTGTGCCTAGTCGTAAAAGTGCTTCACTTTTACGTCTAGGCGTAAAATTAATATTTTTATATTGTCAATCACGTCACAAAAATTAATACTTTTGTGGCGTTTGAAAAAAAAACATTTAATTTTAGATAAAACATCTTTGGAAACATTCTTTTATTAATATTGCTCAAATATCTATATATCAAATATAACAAAATTAGAGAAAAACGTCACTATTAACAGTCTGCTCTATTTCTGATAACACGCTATAAAGCCTCTTCTTTATATCACGGTCTGGAGCTACTCTGGGCTTTCCATGTTCACTTTCGGGATTAGCACATTGTCTGAGAAGGGATGCTAGCTCGGAGGGTGTATGTTCGGATATCAGTAGCCCAGGAACGAGAATTGTATTCGCCATTCTCCAACCTACAATTATAAAAAAATTATAAGGAGAAATACTAATGAAAATATTGTTTTTTTTTAATGTAACACGCAATATGCTAACATATCGCCTCACTGCTTATTTTGTTAATAATTGTTTAGTAGAACGATAAGCATAACTGGATAAAAATAAACTGTTCACTTATGATTTAATTTTTTTTTGTCCAAATTCCTTCGGTTATTGAAATTCCAGTTTTTGATTTTTTATCGATTGTAGGTACCTTAACACGTTGCGTGCAAATAACGTCGAAAGACGTCGTTAGCTTCTTAAGTCACAGGTTTAAGTCTTTTGACGGGATCAGCACGGACACATATATTGCTTTAGTATATCGTAAGCCTCTGTGCGAAGCCAGTGTAAGATTTTCAGCGTGTGGAATACGATATATTTCATAGAAAAATGTTGATCGTTTGCATTAGCCATGGATAATAGTCTGGCAGGGCATTCGGAAGTGAAAAGATATCCAGTATATAATTATCGTTTGACAGAGGAAAAAGATGTACCTGCTATGAACCTATTATATTACTTGGAAAATTGTGATGATGATCTAGGTGATCCAGATTATGAAGATACAAGACTCGAAGATGTAATCCATCTTCTGTCCTAAATATTATAAAAACTATCGAAAACATCTACCAAAACAACAAAATGGAAGTCAGAATAGATGGACAACTTACAGAACCTATAGAAATAGGCAGAGGAAGAAGATAAGACAACTCATTGAGCCCTATGCTCTTTAATTTAATCATGGATGAAATTATCAAAAGCTTTAACAAAGGAACACAATACAGATTGGGAAACGAAGAAATAAAAATACCCTGTTACGCAGACGATAATAATCTGGTCCACAGATTTAACATAAGAGCAAAAGAATTTAATATGACAATCTCATCTCAGAAATCTAAAACAATAGTAATCAGCAAACAACCAATCATATGTAAAATAGAAATTGATGGCATCAGTATTAACAAATAATGGAAATAGAATACCTGGAAATTACACTGTCTAGCTATGAAGACCTGGATAAAGAAGTGAGAGATCAAGTAGAAAAAGCACCTAAACTGGCAGGATGCCCTAATAACACTATATGGCGAAACAGACACATTAACTCAAGTAAAGAATTTTTAAAGTCGGTGTAAGACCAATAATGACATATACCTCAGAAACAATACCCGACACGTGTTTACATATTTTATGTGACAAGCAAATTTTATTTTAAATTGTTGAGAGTTCTTTACTTGCTATTTTAGTAAAATACCATACTATTTTATAAAAATAATTGTTTCTCTTATAGACGGGAACAAAAAAAATCAAATATTTAATTTTAATTAAAAAAATAATTATTGTCATTAAAATAAAAATAAGCACGCCGCTGTTCTGGTAAACATACCTTCAACCTTGAGCGGGGATCTTTCGGACACCCGATTATATAGCGAGAATACGGGACTGCTCAGTCTGTATATTATACCTACGTCATTGTTTGAACGACTTCCTCATTATTCTTTTTAGTGTACTAAGCAGTGCAACTGTCATTTTCCCTCTGAAATTTCTGTTTCACTAAACATTAGAGGTACCGCGTTTCGCTTCTTGTTGGGTAGTGTATTCTGTAGGTAGTGAAACTAAAATTCAGTGGTGAAAGGATTAAGGTATAAATGGATATTTTGTTTAAATTATTTAATACCGGGACAGCGCGTACGCAGTCCCGACTACCAAAAATAACGCGCCCGAGTTATCCGCATTAGGGATAATCGCAGGGGTCAGCCAAACCGATGTGCAATGGAAGGGCCTCACCCTGGGGGAACCGCCTTATTGATCACGGTAACCCCTACGCCAGGTAAGTATGCTTTCTGTTGCTGACTCCGAGGTACAACTGAATCATAGCGACAATAATCTCCATAGTACGCTACTGGCGACATCTACTTATGAGTAGAGCAAGGAAAAATCAATAATATAATTTGAATTTTAGTATCTGAGACTATCTAAAATAAACTTGTGACATCGACATAAGTTTTTACCTAATTTTATTCGTTATGTAAAATTCGCGACAAGAGAAGTTATTGTAAATTGAATAAAATCTTTAAATAATTGAATGAAGTCTTTTCCTGTTAATGTAGAAAAGAAAAAAGAAGAAGGGTCATAAATGCCGCTGTTCCTTTTGACGTCATTAAAGGATTCTGGAATATTAGAATGCTCTTAATACATACTAATAACCTTAAAATAAGCAATATTTCTAATTAAAATTATTGGGAGAAACAATCCTTGTGTTAATTATATATTCAAAACAAGTTTATTCTGAAATAGAGGTCAGGACAAAACGAATGTTTTGAAAAGAAAAAAACCCATAGAGAGTTTGAGAAGTAAACTTGGGAAGTAAAGTCCCACTAATAAAATACCTGATAATGAGAAAAAAAGGTCTTTGATGGAAAATTAGCACGCCTTCGATGGATAGGACATGTAATTAGACGAGATGAAGATACAAAGATCAGAAAAATTTTCGACAGAAGACGACCAGTGGGAAGACGAGCCAGAGGAAGACCAACACTTAGGCATCAAGATAACATAGGGAATGATCTAAAATCCATCGTAGTTAAAGCATGTAGAAGAGCTGCCACAGTCAGGGAAGATTGTTCTGAAGAAGGCTTTGGCTCATAACGAGCTATATTGCCACTGATGATGATGAAGAAAAAAGGTTTAAAGCTATTATTGATGTTTTACCAGAAAAAACTTAAAACATTTTTATACAAATTTCTTGCAAGAGTTTTTTTCGTCTTATTAGTGGCAGGTAGGTATTATTAATATTGTTGTTATGGCGCATTTATGACCATTTCTGATTTAGTGTGATATATTTTCTTATGAAAATTGTTTCTGGTAATATTACCGCTATTGGTAGGGAAGAAGAGGGAGACTTGATCACTCTTTAAAATTTCAGTAAATAAGCAGCTTACAATTATAAAACGAGCAACATAGCGTAGCCACAGTATAGTGCTTAATTTTTAAGCACTATACTGTGGCGTAGCTGTTAGTATGGCAGTAGATCCCATCCCATGTAATTTAGAATTTAGTTATCGTTAGAATACACAAGGAAGAGCACGTGTTCATTACAATTATTTTGTCCCTACCAAGAAGTGTTTTCAGAATTATTTCAAGTTGATTTTCTTTACTATTTGTTTAGGTGAGTTTTAAAACCTACAACTCGGTTTTTAACTTGATGTAAAGTCGTGCAAACTCTTACTTCTTGGCGTAGAACTCTTAAAAATATAATTTTCAAAATATATAAACAACAAAACAAACTAATTGTATCTGCTTTTATTTGGCTAATATTAGGTGTTATGACTTGGACAAGGCTTGAAAACGGTGTTGATATTTAGAGACACGTTTCTGTGATGACTTTATTTACGCATATTTCCTTTAATTAAGTACATGAAATTGACTTTTACCCCCGATCATATTATTGGTATTTATTAATTGCGTTCATTCGATTGTATCCAACTTACGGCAATGGAAATCTCTTTTCACGAATGAGTCAAATTAGGTAAAAACTTACTAATATGTCGATGTAACAAGATTATAACATTTTAGATATTAAAAATCAAATTACATTATTGATTTTTCGTTGCTCTGCTTAATCTACTCGTAGGTAGATGTCGCAAGTAGCGTACTCTGTAGATTATTGTCACTATGGTTCAGTTGTACTTCGGAATGAGCAATAAAAAGCATACTTACCTGGCGTAGGGGTTACCGTGATCAACAAGGCGGTTCCCCCAGGGTGAGGCCCTCCCATTGCACTTCGGTTGGGTTGACCCCTGCGATTATCCCTAATGCGGATAACTCGGGCGCGTAATTTTTGGTAGTCGGGACTGCGTACGCGCTGTCCCGGTGTTAATTAATCTAAACAAAATATAAATTTATACTACAAGATCACGCAGCGCATAATCAGAGCTCAGTAAGTCAGCACGATCAGAACAAAACCATATAATTAACGAACACAGAATTACAGACAGTGTATATTGCTTAAAAAGAATAAGTAGGTTTACTCTGCCGCCAGTTCTTTGTTCTTGATGTCAGAGAACTACGAACACAGAGAAGCGACACGAGGCCCGAAATTCGTGTATCTTTTCTGTATACGCATGACCCAAATAAGGTGCTTTACTGTCAAAAACACGTGCGTTTTCTTCAACTTTAAGTTGCTTACGATAGTCCGTAGGCATCTGTGGTAAACTCTCGACTATACAAGTGCATTTGACCATTTATCTAATTATTTAGTAGTTAAAAGTTTATAGTTATAGTTAAAATATATTATAAGTTAAATATATAAGTTTATAGTTATAGTTTATAGTTAAAAGTTTAATTTATAAGTATTTAAAATGTCTTCTGGTTATTGTTGTGCGTTTCGCTGATGTTCATCTGTGACAGGAAAAGGAATAAGTTTATTTAGATTTCCTAAGAATAATAACAGGTAATTACTATTGCTTTGTAATTATTATTAGTTATTATATAATAGTATTAATTTGACTTTGAGTATAAAAAAAAAATAAATTTTGGTTTGCCAAGGGATAGTTCAGAATAAAAACCAGAGAACTACGAACACACATTAAATTTATTGTCTCCGAAGGCTCAGGTCAAAAAATCAACACACCAGTAGGCCAACAAGATGTTGGCCTACTGGTGTGAAAGCGCTCGCAGACAATAATACGAATATAGTATTTTTAGGAAATAAAAATATATAGAGGGTTTTATACACGAGAATATTTGATTTAAACGAAACAAAGAAATTCCTAAAATGCTCAAACTAAAAATTGTTGGAAACATAATTAGATTGAAAATTGAGAAAATCTTAAAATTACAACAGAACAAGACTTCAAAATAAAAACATGATTGCAAATAAACAAACTGACATTAACATAACTTCAAATATTTGCTGTCTTTTTCACCAAACAAACTTACAATAAATTATGAAAAAACTAAATGCTCATCTACTTTTTGCTAT